TTTGGGATGATCGTGGGGAAGCGCTTCCCCACGATCATCATCACAATGCGATGTTTAGCCTATTTAAACATTGCAATGCAATCGGTTTTTTCATCGCAAAATCCGCATCGGTATGCGGATTCATCGTTAAACGGGGCACTCGTTAAGCGAGGCACCACTGTACAGTACTACAATCTACATTTATTATTTAAATACAGTCATGTCATCTTCTTCTGGTTGCTGCACAATGGTGGAGGGCAGGGTTTCACTTAACTAGGGCTTATTTTGGGGGTAGGACTTACATTATGAGCATCCTGAAAAATCATACTAGGGCTTATTTTCAGGTTAGGTCTTATTTTAGGGAAAACAGGGTATTTCCCACCTTTCTTCAAATAAACAAACAAACACTAAGGCACTGTACAACAATGTAAAAATACAGAACATGCCTAAAATCACAATACTCTAGTTGCAACTTACTACAGGTTTTCAGCCATAGCAATGGGCAGGCAGAAAGGAGAAGGAAAACATGACAGTTCTTCTATTGGCAAAGTGGGAGAATGCCATGTGATTAAGAGACCTGTCACTGTCACGACACTGATTTGACCAGGAGTGGGCAAGCAAGGACCCTCTTGGGGGTTCCTGATGGCAACTTTTATCAGACATAGCCAGAACAGCCAACAATGAAGGATGGCGGGAGGGCAAAAGACTTCTAGAAAGCCACAGTGGGTCCACTCTGTACTTCTCCAACAAAAACAATTACAGTACACATTCAAAATTACATCATGTCAGGTTGAAGGTCAGAACCTTTAAGGCGGCCATGTCTTCTTTAAAGTCCTCTTCATAAAAATGGGCAAGAGATGCTGGCAATACACCCATCTGTAAAAAACAAAGAAAAAACACCAAAAACAGTGGGGAAATCACACATAGAAAGTGACTCTAGTTCTTCAAATGGTCATCTGTAAATGCACACAAACGGGTTTCTTCTGCACGTACATAGAGGCTCTTGGAACTTTCTAGAGCTTTTGTGCATGCTCGTCAAGACCTCCTCCCCTTGGTGCACATTCTCTGCCCATGCTATAGAATGCCTCAGTTCCAAATAACAATCCACCTCTGTCAATCGGGTACAGGGCATACATGATGGACAGAGGGGAGGATAGGTGGGAAGAATGAATTCACAGATGACTGCTTAAAGAACCAAAGTTACAGGTAAGTAACCTCTCTTTCTTAGTGGTCTCTGTGAATGCATACAAATAGGTGGTTAAGCAAGCTAATTTACCAGGTGGGTGGGCTGTCATGGTAAAATGCATGTCAGGTCAGCATGACCGAGGGCAGCATCAGCTCTGGTTCAAACATCCAATCTCTAGTGGGTGGCAAATGTGGAAGGCATGAACCATGTCGTGGCTTTGCAGATGTCTCTTAAGTTGATGCCTCTGAGAATGGAGATTGTCACGGCTCTGATGGTGAACCAGCATGGGACCTAATCGGGGTCACAAACCATCTGGAAATTGTCTGAGAGGAGACTCAAGAACCTCTAGTAGGACCGTGAGGGCTGATGAAGAACCTCGTGGATTTCCAGGAGGAGGAGATACGGGGAACATGAAAGGCTAATGCACGACAAACATCGAGGGAATTCAGGGTGTGCTCAAGCCCACTGGAGGTCGACGGAAAGAAGGTAGGTAATATGATGGGTTGCCGCAAATGAAAGTCAGTCACAACCTTAGAGAGGAACGTGAGGTCAGGATAGAGGGTGACCTTATTAGGGTAAAATTCCAGAAAAGGAGGATTTGTCTGGAGGGCAGCAATCTCTCTGTCTCTACAAGCTAATGTGACAGCAACCAGAAAGATGGTTTTGAAGTATAGGAGCCATTCCGGGGCACTCGCTAGGGGCTTGAAGGAAGTGCGTGTAAGACAGTGAAGGAAAAGCTGAAGGGACCACTGAGCAGCTAGTGGTCGGCGAGAGGGGCAAATGTTCTGCAGGCCCGGAGAAACTTCTTAAGAGTAGGGTGTTGAAAGAACAAGGTGGAGTTTGCATGCTGAGGATGGTGTGCCACAATGGCTGCTATGCACACTTTAAGAGTAGAGTAGGAGAGACCAAGCTTGAAAGTGTAGGAGGAAGGCGAGGATGGCATCCAATGCTGTCGGAGCGACAGGGAAGTCGTGAAACAGGGCAAACTTGGAAAAGATGTTCCATTTATAAGTGTACACGGTGTTAGTGGAAGGTTTTCTCACGTGCTGCAGGGCCTGGGCCACCAAGGGAGTATTCTCCATGCTGTTAGACATAGTGTCAGTAGGACAGGATGGAAAACTCAGCCTTGATCCTGTGTCAGAGGTGTGGTAGCGGTGGGACCTGAAGGAAGGTGGACACCAGGGACTTTAGGGTCGTGAACCACAGTTGCTGGGGCCACCAAAGGGCGATTAGGATGGCACCAACAGGAGTGGTCTTGTTGAAGTTTGATAACTGTCTGTTGGAGGAGTAGGACTGGTAGAGGTAGAGGATGCTCAGGGACCACGTGATCATGAAGGCATCTTCCATCAATCTGGGTTCTATTCCTGCCCTGCAGCAATAATGGGTGCATTCTGTATTAACAGGAGAGGCAAATACATCCCCCGTAAGGGTGCCCCGCTTGTGACATAGGAGAAGGAACACTTCATTGTCCAGAGACTACTCGTGGCTGCAAGTGTGGCATCTGCTAAAATAGTTCCCCAGGGAGTTGTCTTCTGTGGAGATGTGGACTGCAACTGGGTAGATATGGTGAATGTAGCACCATTCCCATAATTGGATGGTGAGGTAAAGGAGAGACAAAGAATGTGTTCTTCTTTGCTTATTTATGTAAAACAGGACAATGGTGTTGTCAGTAGCTACCTGGACGCCATGCCCTACAAGGAAGCTTTCGAAAGCACAGAACACTGACGACTGCAAGAAGATCTAGATGGCTGATATGGAACTGTTTTTCTGCAGGGGACTGTCGACCACCCTCATATCATGGGACTGTCGCAATGAGCCCCCCAGCTGGTGGGGCTGGCATCTGTAATGACTTGCACAGTCAGATGGAGAGGCTGGAATGGCCTGATGACACTGAGACTGTGTGAAGTGTCCCATCAGGTGAGTTTCAATGCCAATTCTTCTGTTACCTTCTGGATGGTATTGAGGATGGTATTGACTCAAGTCCGTAATACTCCTCAGGCTTGTAGTAAGTCAGGAGCTCATAAAGGTGGACCTGTTTGGGGTAAAGATGTTGATACTGAGGATCTGGAACCGTGGGTGTCCCGGGTCGAGCATGGGTGTGTTGTGTGTCCATATCATATGGAGGCTGTTCAAAAGCATGGTGGGTCGTACAAGACTACTTATGAGGTGGTGGAGGTTCAGTGGCAGCTAAGGCAGAGCTTGAATCATGGCGAGAGATCAAGCATCACGAAAATCTGGGGCTCGCATGTGCCAACTGCAACACTGCAATGACCTCAGCCGAAGTATTCCCCAATCAGGTGACTGACTGAATTGAGGGAATACTGCGGTTCCAGACAAGGAGAGACAAACATCCTCATCTCTCTTTGGCAAGTCTAAGCAGACTGTTTCTTGCCAATGCTCCTCTGGGATCACAGAGGGCGGTTTGGCCCTGTCTGTAGGTTGTGAGGTATAAGACTCTTATGGCCAGAAGGTATTGAGGCCTTCTTTTTCTTGCATGTGTCAGATGAGTTACCAGCGCTGCAGGTAGGAATACAGTATTTGAGCTCAACTTCAATGTCAAAGACTTCGACTTAGATTTTGACTTTGGCTGGGCTGATTTCAAGGTTGGAGAGAGAGTTGTTTGTGTAGGCAGCAGGTCAGCACTGTGTGACTGTGGTGTCAGTGTCAAGTCCATAATAGGGGCTTGAACAGGTTGCAAAGATTTTTCCCAGAGATACAAAAGGAGCTGCTGAAGGCAAAGCTTTAATGCTGGCTCAGTGAGATTTTTTTACAAGCCTGGCATGAACTAGTCTGGTGTCTCTCTCCAAGGCAAAATAGGCACAGCAAATGTCCACTGGAGGGAGGGACTTTATTCAGGCAAGAAGTGCACTGCTTGAAAGGGCCTGAAGAGGCCAGAAGACAGGTCCGGGGGGGATGGAAAAATGGGGGGAGTGAAGTCTCCCCCTCCCTCTCTCTCTTTTTGGATAGGCTCATGAAGAAAGAAGGGAAAGTCTGGAGGATGAAGAATTTCTTCCTTCCCTCTCTCTCTCTTAAAAGGTGAATGGAGCTCCGTTGCTAAGATGCAATTATAGCAGCAGCAAAAAAGGAACTGAGGCATTTTACAGCACAAGTGGAGCATCCATACCAAGGGGGGGACGTCTTTGGAGAACACATGCAAAAGCTCTAGAAAGTTCCAAGAGCATTTCCGCAGACGCAGAAGAAACCTATTTGTGCACATTCACGGAGACCACAAAGAATGTACATTTATCTAGCAACTTACAAAAAGAGAGAAAAGGAGTATAAAGTAATATGGAAAAGCATTCTTAACAATTCACCTGAGGGGAACAGCTAAGCTACTTGTCAGGATGCAGGGAACATCGAAAGAAAACAATTTTTTTAAAAGCAGAAACAACCATCGCCTAAAAGTAACTTGGATTTCACATATACCGGTAAATATAAAATAACCTGTAACAAAGCATGAATGGCAGTTATCCTGAACTGTAGCAAAACAAAACAAATCCCTACAATCAAGGAAATGCAGCTTCTCTTTTTTACAATAACTTGGCGGGGAGGAAATACCCCATTCAGATGGGTTCCCCTCATTCTAATTTCATCCTGACATTCCCAAAAAGCCTATTCAGAGTGAGGATTCTCATACTACTGACTCTGATTGTCTCTGAAATGATGCAGTGCTACTAGGTTTCCAACACTCAGATCAGCTCAGAAACAAACTTTTTTAAAAAGCAGTATCAACGTTTGAACTCAGGGGAAGAAAAGGCTGTGAACAGCAAACAAAAAAGGAAAAAAAAACTGCATGAGCCAACATTCAGTGCAGTCCTGGTGAACAGCAAACAAAAAAGGAAAAAAAAATACCTCTGCATGAACCAACATTCAGTGCAGTCCTGTAGAGTACAGGAGACACCATTGGTGTTTTTGAACTGCAACTCCCAGAAACCCCAGCCAGCAGAGCTGATGGTGAAGGCTTCTGGGAGTTGCAGTCCAAAAACATCTGAGTAACAAAGGTTAAGAACCAGTGCTGTAGAGTACAGGAGACACCACTGGGGTGAACAGCCCAAAAATTGCTTTTAGTTTATGTTTGTCAAACAAAATACTTGAGCTTCACGTTTTTACTGTAAGCATTTTGAGATTATTATTAATTGAAGGTGGTATGGTAACTGCCTGGGGAAAATAACACTTAAACATTATTCTAGAAAGCAAATAAATGTAAATCCAGTGGTTAGCTCCAAACACAGTATACACAATGAATGGCTGGGGCACTGACATATATGTGGACTCAATGTCTCTGCTCCACTTGGGAGGAACAACTGGATTTGACCATGAATTATATACCAAACTACCTTAAGAGAACTAAATATATCCTTGGAGGAAACAGGTGGCATCAACGTACTGTACCATCTAACTTTCAGCTCTGCAGGGTAGGGCCCCACCTCTTGTGCGCACAACTTTGCTCCTGCACACACGAGCAGCTCCACACACCCCACGCAGAATTCAGTCGTGACCGGAACCTAACATGATCATGGCACGTGGGTATGGAAGGGGAAGACAGTTGGACGGAGGAAGGGAGAGACGCGTGCACAGCTTAGAGGGAACCTTGGGTAGCAGAGTACAGTTTCATGATGCTGTGACATCTAGAGTCCTAATCAAGCATTACAAAAAGCTTACATTGAAAGCAGGAGCAGAAAGAGATTTCTATCCCCACCCCTGCCTTCTTCAGATAGCCCCTCTCTCCATAGGGTCAGAGCTGGAACCTCTTCACACTTTCAAATTAACCCGCTTCCTTTCTATTTTTTATTTTTATTTTTTTAAGAGCCTGAATAGGGCTTAAGCCAGGTGATTCCAAATGCTGGAAGAGAACACATGGAAGACTGGATTTACTTCCAGTCCTGGTTCAGTAGGAACCCTGGTTAAGACTTACTCACAGTTCACATTGCCTTATCTGTAATACTTTACAGAAGTAAAGGTGGAGTTGGAAAAACACTGACAGGGGATGGACTAGGGACAGACCTCACAACAAAGGCGCCACACTCCCCCAAACGCTTTGATTGCAATAAAGAGTTGTCTCTTGGCTACACTTGGTCCGGCCCAGCAGAATTTTTCATCAATGAAGACAGAAGTTAAAGAAGACAAAGGAAACCTGTACTCAAGCTCTCCCAAACTTCCGTTCTTATGCGTAAGTCAAACAAGATGCCCAGACTGACTACAGCATAAACAAAGCAGAAGCACACTCACTTCATAATCCTATAGAATTTATATGATGAATAAAATTCAAAAACTAAACTGCAAGAACTGTACTTACCTCATTGGCTCTCTTGATTATTTTGTCATCTATATCTGTAATCCCCATCACCATGACAACTTCCTTCCCAAATACTTTCATCAGTAATCTCCTAATTATATCAAATCTAACATAGGATCTGAAAAAAACAAAAACACATTATGCCAAAAGACACATTATCCATAACACAAAATTACACTTCCCATCAGCAATTTACTTTAACCTGAGTGCATTAGAATGCCACAGTCTTGCGGCACTTAAAGGGATAGCAGATTTATGGCTAAATTTAAATTTAAGCTCAAACTTTTAAAACAGGCATGACCTCAGGCTTGTGGGTTCTCCTTTTTCAACTGGAACCTAAGATCCACCAGCTTCAACCTCTTGTAAAAGACACACACTAACAAAAATAAAAACTGGAAAATAAAATAAAATAAAATAAACACAATAATTTGTTTCGAGTGCCAAAGCTGACTTCTACGAACTTCCAATCTTCCACATGAAAAGTCTACTCTGGGGTTATCCCATGAAGTTTTGGGTTTTCAGAAGCACATAGATTTTGCTTTTGGAGACAGGAGAAAATTTTATTTATATTTCTGCAAACTCAAACAAACTGTAGGGGGAAACTGTAGCACTGAAGGGAGCTGTCAAAGTCAAGCAACGGACACCCGACAGAGCCACACCCGCTGCAAAGCTTTAATACGGAGATTGAAGGAAGCCTTCAATGCCTGAAAAACCATATGCTCTCTTAAAAAGGACCCTGCAATCCTAATCCGAGAGAATGGCAACCATGTGAAAGAGAGTGGGTAGCAGACTGTTATGAGAAGGGAAGAGCAGGGAGTAATTCCAGCTCCCCCTTCTACTTCACCGCCTTCTTACAGAGATCCTAAATCAAAGAACCATAAGCAAATAGCAGTAGGTACTTACACTCGTAAAATCTAGGAGGTTCAAGAGAACAATGTTCATACTGAGACTACTATAACTACAGTTCCTGCAGAAATGTACAAAAGAGCATTTAAGAAAACAAATCACTACAGAAAGAGGGAGATTCTCCAGAGGAAGTGTTTGAGGGGGAAGACTATGTTATATTTCAAAATGCTGTGAATGTCCTTCCTCCTTCAACTACAACATCAGCTACTGAAACACAATCTCATTATCTTAATGGATGGAGAAGGATGTAGGCGATCATGGAGCAAAGGAAGGAAAGATGTGGGTGATCACGGAACAAAGGGAAGGCAATTAGCCTTTAGAGAAAAAAACAAAGAAGTGTGGACAGATGTCCCAAAGGGAAGGCAATTAGCCTTCAGAGAAAAAACAACGAAGTGTGGACAGATGTCTGAGCCAGCGGAGTCATAAAGATGCCCGGAGAACTCTTTTTATTAACATAGCACAATTACACAGAATGTTGAAAGAATTCAGATAGGACACTAGTTTCCTAATCGCCACTTAGGACTGTCCAGAGAAAGTCTTTGAACTCATGCCCTAACTCTAAGGGAAAAGCCAGAATGAGTAAGTTACCCCGCCTGCTGGCAGCTGCTGCTTCTCTGCCAGGAGAGTTTGCTCTCACTGAAAACAGATAACAGCTAACGGCTTTGGGCAGAAGGTTCCCACAGAAGGAGGCCACAGCAAAACTTTGGGCCCACTCAATTCGGATAACTTTTTCACTTGGGCTGCTGGTGTGCGGGTACACAGCCAACTCGAGGAACAGGATGTTGTCAATTTGGTGCTTGCATGTGGACCTGGAATTGGGAAAATCCTGAGAGCACAGTTGGAAGCTAAGAAATCAAAGTGGGAGGATAAAGGCAGGGAAGGCATTGTCAGCATCCTACAGACACATAGTCAACATAGTCAACATCCTACAAGAGCTTATTTTACATCCTCTGCCCAACTGCAATTTACAAACTTAAGAAGATGGTGAAACTGGTGGAATGTGCTTTCAGGTTCAAAGTTGCTGATCTGACAGCAAATAAAATAGATCTGAATGAACAAGATGTACGGAGGCTGATGGCACTGCCATAAGATTAAGGCACAATGTCAAATGCACAATGAGACCAATTAAAAAGGAAAATACCTGCCATAAGATTAAGGCACAATGTCAAATCCACAATGAGACCAATTAAAAAGCAAAATACTTTTGCAGAAATATTGGATAAAGCTAAAGCAGCGGAGAGGGTGGTGCTACATGGCAGTTACAGGGCAGAAGAACAAGAAATATTGGATGAAGCTAAAGCAGCAGAGAGGGTGGTGCTACACGGCAGTTACAGGGCAGAAGAACGAATCAGTGGCACCAGTGACCACTTCAAATTATTGCAACTATGATGACTACAGATTTTCAAGGAAAAGGAAACAGAGAACAGATACTGGTCAACAAGCAGAGGTATTGAGTCTCTGATGAACAAGAGAAGAGAGGAACAGGACAAGGAAAAGGACTTCAAACCATGCAGAGGCACCCAGATAAGAGACAAAACTGCAGTCACCAACTATTTCTAGGCATGTTGTGGCCACTCAAGATCAGAGACCTAAACCCAATGCCAAACTGGCATCTGAGGTACCATACCTCTTAACAGTGAATTCTGGAGAAAGAGAAAATGAAGAATAGGGGTTCCCAAGCCAGAGTGACTCCTGTTCTAAAACTGAAATTTTGGTTGTTCCTGTACAGCCAAGCAATGCTGGTGGAACATACTTTCACACAAAACAGGGAGGTCAGAGAACAAACCATTCGCAACATTCCTAGATTCAGAAACTGAGTATGTCTTAGCTAAGAAGAAGTGGACGAGGACAAAGAAGCAAGGAGGCGTGTTATTAACAGACTTTGCACCAGACTTTGATTAGATTAGAGCCCAGATGGTCCACTCAACACCCATGTGTACCAGAAACCTTGATACAAGACAAAGAGAAATCGATGCCTTGATGTATATCTTGGGGATTTTTTTCAGACCAGGCACCTGAGGAAATTGTTGCAGATGAAATTTTAGAACCTGATGTTCTGGTATATATACTACTGCTGCATTTCAAAATACAACTGAAGAGATTATCCGTGACTAGCTTATGTAAACAAACAAAATCCTAGCTTCTGATGAGTTTAACCTTTCAGTGGTACTCTGACACTTTCCAGATATAGGGATCTGTAAAATTCACGTCTCCCAACAGTGCCTGTTCACCTGTAATATCCGTTTATTTCCTGTTGTTGACATACTGTTACCATGTGTTGATATAGCAGCCCATTTTAATGCTTCTTGGCCACATACATTTATTTTTTATTTTATACTGCCTAATCTGATACATACTTCTGCTAACTTTACTAGGAGGTACTCAGTATTTCAGGACTGCCATTTTACATTACAGACATAACTGCAATTTAGAATAATGTGTCACAACAATAAAACTGTATTATATCTAACTGCAGAAGTAAAAATTCCAAGCTGCGCTGTAAGCTACACTGCCAAATACATATTTTAAACATTTCTTCTCACTGTTATCCACACCCACTTAATTAAACCACTTCAAGTCTTAAAATAGTTTTTCAACCAATGCCTCTAAAATACAGGACACAAGGAAGGAGAGGGTAATTTCTCCCACAACCTAGGCAAAGTCTGAAGATATGAACCCACTGTTGGTGTATTTATACACAGCGGTAAGCCTGATTTCTGCAGAATTCTAAGTTACCATAAATAAGTTCTGTGGTGGGGCATACAACCAGTTCATTCCCACCTGGCTTCTCCCATTGGCACAACCAGATTATCAAAACTAAAAATGGCTTGTTTGCATGTTGACTGGAGCCAGGATCCTACATCTTTGCTTGCACACATGCAAAAAGTCAGAACTCCCAGGTCAACTGGGTGAACCTCAGCATGCCCACCTTTTAGAATGGAAAAAAAATGGACAAAAGCTAAAAAAATCACTAGCAAATGGTGACGCAAGGAAAGAAGCATGGCCATGTGGAGGAGCCCAAAGGGTGACGCTGGAACCCCAAGGACCACCATTGTCCAGCCCTGACCAAAAGCCTGTTCTATCGGCTAAATGATGGGACAAGCATTTCAGGAAAGGTAAGTAAAATTAGAAGACACTCACAAAGCATGTCCAAGATGTGCATGGTCATAAACAGTTGGTCCACAACTATACCTGTGAATAAAACAAACAATCAGGAAAAAAATTACCACACTGATATAGTCTTAAATGCACACCATTACCCACAATGATTGCAATCTTACTACATAAGAGCAGCAAATAGATGTGTCTCCACAACTTCTACTTTACTGAATGCATTTCAAGCAGGAACCCGTTCTAAAGATATAATGCAGATTAAGCTAGTCTACTTGAGGCTCCCAAGAAATGTTAGTGCCCAGCTGAGCTCTGCTGGTTCAAAGAAGAAAATGGGGTCAACTACAACAGGTTTGTGTCAGCAATGCAGAGCTAGAACCACTGTACAATCTACTTTAGCCCCCATGTAGGCTAAATTTTAAGTACAATTCTAACTGGACTGCCCATGGTAAATATGCACTAAATTTGGCTAAATGTAGCACATTGCTATTGCTTGCTTTCCTTATATCAACAGTGGACATCATGTCCCTTCAGCCATCCACATATTTAAATCTAGGCCTTTGGCATTCCTATTTGGACCAGTGCATACAATCCTGCTGTACAGAAAATATGTCCCTTTTCTGCATTGTTATTTTTCCTCACTTATCAACCCCAGGTCAAGAAGAGCATTTATGTTAGCCCGATTTAACATTTTCCCCTCAGCGAACCATGCCGGTCGATTTGCAAATATTCCTAAAGAGGATCGATTATGCCTGTTCTGCCACTCGGTTCCAGATACACTTGATCATATACTGTTTTCCTGCCCAGTTCATTTTTCCATTCGTAAGGCACTACTAGAACCCTGGTTATCTTCCCTGCCGAACACCCCTGAGATGTTTCTGAACGATTCTTCCTCCCGTATCACTGAAGCTGTCGCTATTTTTTTGCTTGAGATTCTTAAATTAACTTCCAAGTTATAACCCGTTGTGTTTATTGTTAGTAATCCCAGCTGTATTTATGCCAATAAAGGTTTGGAGAAAGAAAGATCCACACTATAAAATTCTGGTTGCACCTTCACTTTTTAGCCAAGCATCCTAACTATGCACACTTTATGCTAATAGATTTCCATATCAGTTAAGTGGTTACTTTGGTCTAGCATAAAATTAGATCCACTGGCATACCTCTTGACTCCATTCTAACGCTTAAATGACAACAAGCATTTAGAGTACTGCCCCAGAGACTACATATATCAAGGGGCAAGAACTGTTTTCTCTAGCAAACAGAACATGTTCTCTTATTGCAAATGATGTGTTGCCAATATGAGTCACTTGCAGCTTATTCAGCAACTCTTAGAGTAACCCAGGCTCACAGAGCATTTCTCCTTACTAGATTTAACATTCTACCCTCAGCATTGCTCCACGGTAGATTTCTTCTGTGTTTTGATCCCAGGTCCTTTTATACTGGATTTATATTATATTTTATGCTGTAAGCTTTATGAGCACATGAGGAATGATTTAATTTGACCCCTTCTGCAAAAACCAAGGCTACCCTGGTAACTGGTTAGTTATGTATTGTTTGTCAGACTGGAATCCTTATGCTTTCTCAAATTGGAAACTTTTTCCTTGCTGTAATAATAAGAAGGGCCTTCTTATTGGAAGATGCTTGAAATTTTTCACTGTTTTTTTTTACTTTCTGTCTTCTTTTTATTGTGTGTAAGTTGGTTGACATGTATCAGAACAAGTCATACAACTGTAATAAATTTACTGATAGTCCCAGTATAAATAACAAATGTTTCAAATAAGTTTACTTGACGTACAAATAATTACAATATTATTTCCAGAATAACTTGAAGCCTGACCTTTCTGCCCAATTTATATCCCAGATACAAATTCATATGTTTCTTTGCTTGAAGTTTCCTGCCAATCCTTCTTTCCTTGCTTTACTTTTTTTTAAGAGGGAGCTGGCATGAATCCCCATTACAGTACTGGGATTCATGCCTTCTCAGTGCCAACCAGTCAACGGCCCCAGTTTTAGCCTGCTCTCTACTCCAGACTGTGACAAGAGCATTTCCCACTCAGCCCTTCAGGTATTTTGAACTTCCACTCACAGGATTCACTGATGATGCTGGCTTGGCCTTCTTGGAATTAAAGTATGAAACATTTGAAATAAGAACCACTGCACAGTGCTTGGATGCATTACATGTACAGTACAGTACATGAGCAGAGCCCATTCAACCCAGTGGGACTTGCTTTCAAATGAAGGAGATGGGAGACTGGGGTCTTGTGTGCATTTACACAATCACACAGAACTTACAATCAGAAGGGGCCGCAGGACTCATGTAGTCCAACCCCCTACCAATGCAAGATCCACACCTAAAATTTCCCTGGCAGAGGACATCTAACTTGTTTCAAAACCTTCAATACAGATCTCCACTTCCTGAGGTATGGGATACTGTTGCTGAAACAGCTAAAATTTAGGGTCCCCTCCAGAGCACTACTTTTTTCCCTGCCCACTCTGTTGCGCTTTTAAAAGCTGTATAACCAGAAGAAATTCAAGAGGAAAGCCTCCCCTCACTTTACTGCGTATTTATTGGGGGGGGGGCAGCGTTGCTTTTTTTTATGGCTTGGCAATACACAACCAAAAACATCAGTCAAAGAACCCCGGCACTCCCTTAGAGACGAAGGCAAACGAAACGTATTTTCTACCAAGTCACCACATCCGCGTTTCCCAAGATGAGCGGTTCTTTGCTTCTGCTCAGGCTGTTGTAGGCCTGGATGCCCGTGTCGTGGCCCGCGGGCCTGATCCACTTCGTGCCGCAGCACCTGCTCCTCCGGGGATCTTCGCCCAGCAGCGGCTTTCCTGCAGCGGCCAACAC